GACTCGCCCCTGCCACTACAGCTACACTCAAATAGTAAAACAAATATAATATGATTGATAAATTACAATATACAATAAAACTATGTATAACAAATAGGCAGATACCCCTTTCGGCACTGCAAACACTGACATCGATTCACTCATAGTCACACTTTTATGTTCAAAATCCCGGAAACAAATGAGTAACGTTTTCTATGTTGAACGTTTTTTAGACTTTTAGAGTTAAGGCTTTTTAGTCTTTAGTGCTGGCCCATGAGTGAGCCTGGGCTCTAAAATGAACCAAAAAAATAAAAAATAAAAATAGATCCACTGAAAAATAAGAAGCAAGTTTTGGGTAATTTGGAAGAAGCAGGCTCTGTGGTTTGGACTTATTGATTTTTAATGCGTTTAAACTTAGTTTTTCTTTAAAGCGGGGTTCTCACCTACGCAATTCGTTGCCGCAACTGTCGAATTGCATGCAACTGTTGGTTCAGACTAGGCATTTTGGTTTGCAATTTAGTGTTGCGCAATGAATTGCACGCAATGGAACCCGTTCTATTATTTCGCAACTTTTGACATGCAACTTTACGCTGATAACCTATAAAAACGAATTTCTTGTAGTAGTTTAGTGGGCGGAAAGTAAACAAAATGAATAATTAAAAAAAAACGCAGTAATGTCCATAAAAAACGAAATATGTGAAAAGTATCCAGCTTTTTGTGAAGGAATATTAAGCGAAGATGACATATTAAAAAAATCCTCAACTCGAACACTTGAACGCACACTGGGATAATTATTTTAGTTTTAATCTGCCGCTAACAATTTTTATAGCAAATAAAATGTTTATTTGTATGCACAAAGATAGGTTAAGAAAATATCAGTAATGCCGCAACACAATTTTAATCGTGTTAAGTTTGCCATTTATTTCCTGCCATTTGTCCAGCAAAATTGCACTAGTGTGAACAGCAGAGTTGCGCAATAAAACTAACCCGGGAATTGCGGTAATAGAAATATATTAAAAATGTGCGCTTGCGGTTCCGCAATACAATCATTGCTAACTCTTACCGTTTTGGCATTGATTTGATCAACACCACCATTTTTTCAGTTTCAAATTATTTATGAATTTTTACTTCACATTGATTTGTGAGCTTTAGAAAAATGGAATTAGGATTCATATTTGGCATTTTTATCAGAGATTGAGTGGTTTTTTAAATCTCAGCAGTCCATTTTCGACCAATTTTTGTATCGATGATGCCCCATATTTTTTTAGGATTAGTCATAGGGCCCTCGACTAGGCTTTTATCATATTTAATCTTTGCATCTAGAATTACTTTATCCGCGACTCTGGCATAATTAATGTATTCAAGTCCGAGTTAATTATTTTTAACATCCATTTGCCAAACATTGTACAAGAATTCCTTGGTTTCGCACGATTGAACAATAACATCAGTAATCCAAGCTTCCCTACATTTATTTCTTTCCTTTCTCTTTTTAGTTTTTGACTGTATAATGCAGCGTTTGATAATGTTAATCACTTGGTTAGTAGCTTCACTGGGATCATGTATTATCATCATGACATAATTGAATTCCAGTTTTGCAATGTTTCTCAATTTTTTAGTCTATTATTACAGTGTGTTTATTGTCTCTAGTTTTGAGCTGATTTATTGATCCAAAAATGGGAAAGTGGTCCATTAAAGAAGGCTTAAGCTTAAAAGCCACCGTACTGTGATTGTCCGCTTTAATATAAATATGATCTATACATGATCCCTTCCAATTACTCATAGGCGATCTGGTGACACCCACAAAACCAGATACATACCCTTTGTCCAGAAAAGTACATAGGAATTCCTGACTCATTCCATTCAACTCAAGTAAGTCTATATTAAAGACGTCTATTTCTAAATGATATTTTAAGTCCCTCCTTTTACCAATGGATTTGTTTAACTCTAAAGTGAATGAATCTTAGGAATTCGTAAAACAGTCTCTAAAGCAGGCTATCCCAAACTTTTTCGATAATGGAACACATTGCAAACCCAGAAATTTTAAAGGAGCACTTGGTTCCTTTAAAATTAAAATTAAGTTGTTTTCTACTGAACTTTATTTTAACATCTAAAAAAGAGGTTGCCATATTTTTTCCTCTGTATATCGAAACTTAAAAAAAGTCTGAAGTAATGGGCATGTGAAGCAAATGTATTCGTGGAGCACTAGTTCAGGTTTACCGCAACCCCCTTTTGGAAAACTCTGCCTTGGATGGTGGCAACTGTTCCCTGCAAATTGGGACAATAGTCATTTTCCAAAAAAACAACAACATGCATAATTCAAAAAATTAAGAATAATTCAGAGTTAAGAGTACGAGACATCTATTTCGAAATGACGTATTTAATGGTTCAATAAACTAGGCTAGAACTAAACTTGTGATCAGATGACAATAAGCATTATTGTTTGCCAAAGATACAGAGGTGGTTATTTGGCGGAGATATTTTGCACAGTTAATTGGACACATTTGCAGAATTACCTCAAATAAAAATAAAACATATTTGTTAAATCAACTGTGTTGTATTATTAAAAAAATATCTGGAGACTCTAATTGGAAAATCCTTTCTAAGCAATGTCCGAGATGCAGATATGAACGTAAATTTTTCATAAAAGTAAATTAAAGCAACGTTAAAGTTTTCACTTGTTATTTTCCATGGCCTTTAGCAGTCATGAAGGAGCAAAGAATTCGATCGGAATGTGAAAAGTGACAAAAACCTATATCGACTGCACGCGAATTTCAGTATTGAAGACCTCAGTCAGTGGTGATTAGTTGAATCGTGGTGGCAAAATGTGGAAGAAAAATAGGCCAGCTGAACGCCCGCAAGTCTTTTGTATTGCGATTCGAAAAAGATCAAATTCTCTTCCAGATCCGTCAGGATGGGCTAATGTGCTGCCTCCGGACAAATCCGACCTGCTGAGAAGGGAAGAAGATGAAAAGACCAGCAGTGAGAGCTCATCTGGTGAAGCCCGTGGCATTCAAGTAGAATTTTTAAAGCATGAGAATGTTGCCAGCGAAATGATGCGGTCCAATGCGGAGGAGTACTTCTTAAGCAGGGGACTCGTAAACCGTCCGAGGTCAAGCTTGCATACGCCTGAAAGTGGCCCCAGTTCCAGACCCGAGACATCGCCGCAGCCACCACGGCGTAACTCAATTCCAAGGGTCTTAAGGACAGGAAGTGTATCTCCACCGGCAGAAGAGATCCAGCCTGGCGCTTCCAGAGTGTCACTTCAATCGGGGCCTCATGCGCGTAAAAACCTTATCGCATTCGCTTTTGGGTATCCTACAGATTCGCATTGGATAGGCAGCGGCGCAGCCCCACAGGCAGCCAGGACTGAGCAGTCACATGAATCTAGACAAGAGTGTTGCTGCTGGAATAGGCCGAAATATATGAGCAACGTTTGCGTTACTGCGACTGTCGTAATACTTTTCATGGCCACAGTTTGTTGCATTTCTTTATATCTACGGTTCATTGCCCGTAAGTATATCGTCACATTGGCAAAGGACGCATTTTTATGGTTTTGGTCTCCACTAGTTTTTTTCTTACGCTTTACCAACTTTTTCATCTTTTCTAAAGCGTTTTCTGTTATCATTGCAATATGAGGCCGTTAATTAGTTATTAACCTATCATTTCTTACATTTTTATTAATATTGTTTAACTTCTTCTACAACGCTTTCTTTGCCTCTGCAGGGCGTCCCACCGGGAACCGCCTCAATCAATATCTGATAAACTGTAATTAGGAGAAATTTTAAAATTGGACATTGTGCCGAAGTCATTGGGGACAAGCCATCTAAAATGTTTTCAAGAATGCAACGCTTCAGGTTATTCCGAAAGTAGGTATCAACTTGCTCATTTTCAATGAAATACCCCATACATTATTACATTTTTGAATTCAACGACCAATTTTTAATAAATTTAATGTAATTTAAAGTCTAATCGTTTTTGATATATTTGAAATTTTATGTAAAAAATGACAGATGCAGCCACTCGAATAATTATTTATTTTTCCTATAAGCGAATATGTGCTACTTAATTTGAGTCGCATTTCTTGTTGAAAAGGATTTACTTTAATGGAATTTGGACAACATTTTCAAAACTATTAATACAAAGTGTTAAAAAAAGTAAAATAAATGAAAACCCCCATTTTTGATCATTTTATCTTATTGTATTAAAAATAAGAGTAAGCTTGTGTAGGGTTTTCTATTTCAAAAGTGATTTGTGTTTGTGATTAAGTTTTTGAAAAATTGTGAATTTAATGTTTTCAAATATTTTATCAATTAGAATTACAAAGAATAAAAACCAATTTTTTTTCTAAATCTAAGGTTTTCTCATTTTTCTTGTCGTGTTTATAAATTGAACATGCACTGTTATTTCGACGTATCCAAAATTCTTAAAATGTTCTATAATTTGTTTAACAGCACAGCGTGATGGCTTCTGTTTTTGTGAATATCTAATGGAAAATATGTCAAATGTTCTTGATATAGCTATCACATTCTACATAAATAATAAATAAGTTTAAATAACCTTCGTTTGTGTAATTTAAGCGTCTGGGCATGATTATTAATTATTTTCAAAAGGCAACTGACAGCTGTAAGCATTACTTCGACATTTGATTGTATTGAAAAATGGCCACTTTCGTCATGGCAACTAACAGTGACAGTATTTAAAAAAGATGCGACAAAATAGCCATATGAAAGAACTAAATTGACAATATTTCGAAAACTAAACATTTTTGGAATAGATAACTTTATGCAAATTTGCCCTTACTTTTAATACTGAATAAGATAAAATTATATAAAATGGGGGTTTCCATTTGAAAAAAATGGATTTTGGGCGGTTTTCTCAACGTCAATTTGAAACTTATTTTTAACACTTTATATTAATAGTTATCAACATTTTCTCGAAATTCCATGAAAGTAAGTCCTTTCAACAAGAAATTCTAATGAAATAATAATTAAGTATCACGTATTCGCTTATAGGAAAAATAAATAATTATTCGACTGGCTGCATCAGTCATTTTTTACATAAAATTTCAAATATATTGAAAACGGTTAGACTTAGGTACAGGAAATATGTATGAAACAAATTTAAAATTTGGAGCAGAATGCAACAATGTAATAATATATAGAATATTCCATTTAAAATAAGCAATTTGGCACCCACTTCCGGTGAAACCGGAAGTGTGGTCATCTTGACAATATTTTAGATCGATTGCTTTCAGTGACTTTGCCACACTGTCCAATTTTCAAATTTATCAATCAATCAAAATTACAGTTTGTCAGATATCGATCGCGGCGGTTCCCGCTGGGACACCCTGTACAGATGAAGGTTTTTCATTTCGAATAATTTGGAGTTTAAATGATATGCAGTGTATCGCAGGATAGATTCAATAAGAGGTGAACTGGACACAACAATTTTCCCAATTTTTTAATGCCATTTAAATGGAAATTAGTCATGCTTCTTGTAAAATTAAGGTATCCAACAAAATTGTTAATTCCGAATGTTGCCGTATATATACGACGTTTTAAAGCCAAAGAAGTAAAAAATCGTTACCAGTCAAGTCATCTATTTGTCAAGATACGGAAAACCAATTAAAAAGTGCTTTAGAATTAAATTTTATACCAACGTTCCAAATTTCAGAAGTATAAAAATATGCAGGAATATGGAACCGCAAACAACGCGCAAACTTTACAATGACACATTTATAAACAATCTAATTCAGAAAAAGTATATTCTTTATACAATATACTAAGAAACCTGACCCGACTCATATCTATAATGAGAATTTACATACTTCTTTTATTCCATTTCTATTTTACAAATGTAAATCTGTGGGTCGTTTAAAATTAAGGGACCATTTCAAACAACTTGTTTTTGTTGTTAAGTTAATTAATGTTAAGTTTTTTTCAAAACATTTTTGTTTGGTATTGTGCCTCAAATATGTTTTTTTCGGCAATTCAAGCAAAGGAACGTTCACCAAAAAAACTAAGGGGTTTCAGTCAAATTTAAAAACAAACAAAAACTCATTGCGAGTATTTAAAGATATATATTTACCTAGCTTTGTTTAATATTTTTTACTATGCTCTTTTTGTCTTATTTTTTGATAAAGGAAGCGACATCGATAGCGATAACGAACTGTCAAGGTTATTTTTATAGATAATTTTTTTATAAATTGCAATTTTCTCTTGTAGTTTCATGGGGTCGTCTAACTTTTTTATTCTTAGTTCTTGATTAATACTTCGTTAGCTATTGTGAAATAAGAGCATTATTTATCAATCCGTAATAAAAGAAAAGTCTGTTCTGTCTTACAAGACAAATAGGTTTCAGAAGAAATACCCTACAAACAGGTTTGAAAGCATGAATCGTCATTCTTCTTGGACCACTTTGAATTTGCTAAAATAAGACTGTTCGAAAAAACAATAATATTCTAGATAAAATATTTTATCACTCATGATTTGCATTAAGAATAAACTCTGCATATATATAGGCATATTTAAGGTGTTTAATATAAAAATACTTTTTAATTTAAAGAACCGGTTGTGATCACTACTATCGACTACCACGAACAAAACTCAATTATAACACCGACATATTTTGCGAACATCAACACCACTGAGAATCCTTGTGAAAACTTCCACCTCTTCGCTTGCCGAAGTAAAAGGAACCGTTGGATCAACGGGGATTTAAAAAAACCGTTTCAGAAGCATATAGAAACATTAATTAGCAGGTCCATAAAAACCATTCTCACCATGGACTTTAATAAACATGGACTTCCAATATCAGCTAGTCACAAGAACTTACAAGCGGTAAGTTGAACAACAAGTAGTAAGTTAGATGAATTAGGGTAATGTTGTGCATCTTATTAAAAGTTGAGAAATTCCTATTAGGTTTCCTACTTTCCAAAATATATAGAAAAGCGAAATTTGCTTAAAATAATGTTACTTTTTTAAAAGCTTATTGGGGGTGATACTTTCAAATAATTATTTCAATATCAGTGCAACTTTTAATTTTCTACAAGATTATATTATCAGATCTGAAATTCAGTATTTCGTTTTCGGCCCTCCACCATCAACGTATTTTTTGATAAAATCTACGGATGTTAGTAAAATATTTTTATGTAAATATTAGGTTGTTTCAGTGCAAGATCATGCAATTTGAAACTGTGAAAGCGGTGACAATTTGAAAACTTTTCACCCTTAATATCTTTCTTGCAGTTGAAAATATGAAAAATTGGAAAGACCCGTCAATTTTATTTGTAAGGGTAAAACTTTAAATTATTTTTTTAGCCTCCTTGTTTCAACCCCTAGGTGGGGTAGATATCACCCTGAGAATCTTAAATGGAACGGGGGGCCAAGTGGCACATCGTTTTAAAGGGCCTTCAATTCTCTTTACATTAGTTATAACTTGGTTGCTTTTTGTCTACCGGTCTCCGAATACTCGCGTTTCAAAATTGTAGAAACAGTTAAACTTGCCTGCATTCAGATCTGGGTTTTCAGTTTAGTGTTCACCCAAAAGCGATTGTATTCGGTCTCCTTGTAATACAAATGATTAGAAGAGTAGGTTACACCGTTAAAATCGTTTATAACAGGAAGAAAATCTAGCTTAAACAATTGATTTCGGATTTATTAATTATTTTACTTCGGCAGATATAAAAATCACTTTTTATTCACGGAAGAGAAATTTCTACAATAAAACCCATAGATTCTACTTACGCACTAGGTTATAAATTGTTCAAAATTTTGTTTTATTTCCTATAAACAATAATCAAGTCTATTTTTCAACCCTCTCTAATATTGACAAGATATTCCCGGATAGATCGATTGGCAGAAGGGGACCAATTGAATGGCCTCCAAGATCACCGGATTGAACACCCTGAGACTTCTTTCTTTGGGGACATTCTTAAGTACATTGTTTATAAAACACAATGCGAATTGCAGCAGAATGCTGGTCAATTCCCGGTAAAGTTTTCGGAAATGTCAGGGAAATGTAGTTCAACAATAGTTTAAAGTGTCCCTTTCAAGTGTTCATTTAAAGTGGATATCGAACTGAAAATGTGTCACATGTTCTTGATAATACTTTATCAGAATCTCTTGACCTAATTTCTATGGAAACATTGCAATATTTTATACTATTTTGGATGGCTAACTTCGGTCAACTAAATCGGAAAAGTATAAATTGTTCCCAGACACTTTATTTTCGAAAAAAACATGTGGTATATCACAGAAATCGTAATAAACTGCTCTATTCGGTAAAGTAATAATCAAATATAGTTGCCATTTAAGAAAACTGAAATTTGTGTCATATGTCAAAAGTGACAATTATTTTGGAGAAATGTCTTGTGCCATTTTGTTTGGAAATCAATTTCCTACAAGTTTTCTATGTAATGTTTTCTTGTCTAATTAATACCAACGGAACTAGGAGTAATTTAAAAATTTACCATAAATTAGTTTTTCCCAAAAATCTCTAGACAGCTGTAAAATTTTAGAAATATAAAATTTGTTTCGAGTAGACCATTTAAAACTACGATTCTTTGTCCATTTGA